ATCTCCCTGTACATTTCTTTGTACTTTCCTATGACTTTGTAATTACCTTAAAACACAAATACAGTTTAATAAATTCCATCTGTAAATTTCTCAGTTTCCTAGGACAGTAACATATCTGGGTCTATATATTCAAATGTATTGTAGAGAATAGATGCCCTTTTTTCTGGTACAAGGGATTGAATCCAGAGTTTTTGTGCTGAACTATATCCCTAGCTCTGTGTGTATACATCTCATTAAATATCTAAGTTGCCCAAGCTGGGCTCTAATTTGAAGTATTCCTGCTTCACCTCCTGCTCAGCTGCTATATGTCTTTTGAAATAATTCACCTATCTTGGGCTTCAGTTTCTCCTTTACCATGTTTGCTTTATTCTCTTTAAATTGAAGACAGTTTTCTTAACGAGACAAGAGTAAACCCCATGGGAGAATAGCTCAGTCTCCTGCCTGCACCCATGCGCAACATACCAAGTCTCTCTTTCCCTTGTTCTTTGCTTTCTGTTCATTACTGATTTCTGAATATCACATTTTGGTCATTTTCTATTCCTTTGGGTTATTTTCTTGATTCTATTTATACTCCTGTCATCACTTTACATTGGCTTTTGACCATGAGCTCTGCCTTTTCTTTTGATCTGCATACTTAAAAAAATCTAACTTCATCTTTAGTTCTAAGTGCACTGTTGGGTGTTATTCAAGTGTTATGAACTGCTACCCCAGGGTTATTTTTATAAAGAAGAAAGTTGCTTCTCTTTTACTACTATTTAAGTAAGTCCTGTATAGTGTGAGTTTTTCATCTTTTCATTAAAATATATAAAGTGGACCCTTGACTAACAAACTCAATTCATTCACAAGGGCTGGCTGTAACTCAAGTTGGTCAATTGAAGGCTCAGGCTCCTCTACACAGCCTTCAATGTCTCTCTCCTTTATACAGGTAGATCTCAGAGTCCTTAGAGAGACATTGGCCTAGGATTTGTCAATTAACCCCACGCAGGCAAGGATGTTGTAATCTTCCTTCTGGAACTCTACAAGGGTTAAATCTGAAGCTGAGACCATATGGAAGCACAAGTGACTGGCATTTGGGTCGTAATTCAAGACTGGTTGTAAATTAAAATTAAAATTCTTGTTGTAACCCAAGTTGTTCATATGTCAGGCTGGTTGTAACTATAGGGATGGATAGATAGATAGACAGATATCAGAGACCACCAAAAATATTTCTCAGAAAGAAAAACTTGTATAAATATTTTAATACTAACTTTATTGAGACATCATGAGATTAATGCAAGTTACCTTTGGCCTCTACAAGAGGTGCTCAAAGTGGTGGCCATTAGCTTCAGTTATTAGTATGGCAAACTGGTTCTTGGGTAACCTTGGTCATTGGCATTGCTGCACATGCATTTTCAATTTCTTAAGGGTCAGCAATGCAGTGGGTTTTCTGTGACATACACCATCTTCTAGCATCCCCCACATGAGGGTTATAACATCTTGCAAAAACATCATGCTATTTTTCTTTTCCTAAAACATGTATACATTTTGGGGCAGATTCTCTCTCTCTCTCTCTCTCTCTTTCTCTCTCTCTCCATATATATTTGTTTTTTGAGCATTATGAGTTTCAGGCCTTTTCAGACTTTGGAATATTTGCATGTACATAACAGGATATCTTGGGATGGGACCCAAGACTAAACATAAATTCATTTATGCTTCATATGTCCTTCAAACACATTTCATCTGATATTTTTAGGGTTCCTGCATTTTGACTCTGATTCATCATGTGAGGTTAGGTGTGGAATTTTCCATTTACAGTGTCATGTCAGCACTTAAATAGTTTTGAATTCTGGAGGGTTTGGGATTTCAGAGTTTTTGATTAGGGATGCTCAACCTGTATTTTAAAATTGCTCTGGTTTAAATTAGGGCAAGGGGAGATTTTCACAGTTGTATCACTGAGCCAAGACTTCAGAACCTCTAGAAATGATGTTTGTCCCCTAACACTTCAAACTGCTTGTCTATGCTCTCTTAGAGTCCTCTCCCTATGAATTATACTTGGTCTTGTGGATATACTCATGGCTTCATTGTTCTTTCTCATTAGGGGTCTGTGAATTCCAACTGGGATTTTTTCAAATGACTTCTCACTTGGCATTGGGTGTAACCTGTTAGAAATGATCCATCACTCCATCCCTCAGGCCCACATGGAATATTCCAGAGGCTTCTTTCTTACCCAGACTTCTCCAGCTATGACTTTTAGGCAGAAATTGCCTGCCTTACAGTGTTTTTCTCCTAAACATTATTTACTTCCATTATATCACAGTTAGGATGCTGAATTCCTTTAATGTATGCTAAAGAAAGTGTCAAGAGAGACTCCTGACAATCTTTATCTGAAGTCCTTACTAGCTTGATATTAGAAGAGCATAGATCAACACACAGCAAGAAAATACAAAATACAAAATACAAAACTCAGTCAAATATTATCCCATCTGTACCTGCCAAAACCTTTTACCCTGCTTCACCAACACACTGTAACAACATTGTTAAAGGGCTCTGACACTTCTTAGATAAGTGCTTCATTCAGCTCCTTGTCTCCTTTTCAGGAGGAAACAGGAAAATTCCAAGTAGTCAACTGCACTATCAAGTTCTCTTTCAGTATCTTATTCAGCATCCAGTCCCGTGTTTCTCCTCTGTGTACTTCTAAAGACCTACATTTGGGATGTGTTAGTTCCACTATGTACCACCACTTCAGGGCATTATTCGGGGCGGGGGGGAAGATACAGATTGTCAAAATGTTCATGTTTTCACTTTATTAACATGCCTAATAAAGACCTGGGTGAATGAGATCATTGGAACCAAGGAGAAAAATGAAGCTTCATGGTTCCCAGGAAATTCTACTCTGAAATACTGAGTTTTCAAGATATGCCCCACCATAGCAAAAACAACTCTCCTAAAAGAGCCTCCCTTCAATAGCAATTCCGAAATATTTCATTGTTTGTCTGCTGAGCCATTTCTTTGCTATTTTCTTTATCAGAAAGGATGTATTATTCACAATTGGTTATAATAAAGAATCTTTGCCATCAGACTCTAACATCCTTGAAAATGTTGAAAAACCTCAATCTGGACGTCTGTAAAATTTCCATCTATGCCTTAGCCTCTTCTGATTATGGGGTAAGGAGAGAGGGAAAGGAGGGAAGTGAAAAAGAGAACTTCATTAAATCTGATCCCCTCCTTTTCAGTTTTATATGACTGTGTGACTGTTCTCTAGTTTTTATATAATAGTGGGGATTTGACCTGCATATAGTTTAAATAGGCTTCAGAGGGTTACTAGAGCCAGGGAGCCTCTGTCTACCTCTGTTTCTGTAGAGAAAATACATTTAGGTTCCTAAAGAAATGATTCACAGACAAATTTTGAAACACAATCTATGTATAATATGGAGCCTACCTAGGTCCCTGGACTTCTCTTAGCGTGGCAGACCCTGCTAACAGAGCATCTAGGGCTCTCACAGTCCCAGTAGAACTGACTCTGAAATGTTTTAAAGAGAAGTTAGAAATTGATTTAGGCAGTTAGTTTGAGCACGCAGGTTAGGAGATTGCTAGAAGTTGTATTACTTCCTATAGCACCTGGGACTCAGTTACTTTAAGTGCATAAATCAGCCTTCTGAGAAATATTATTCAGTTTCCTGAGCTTAGTTTAAACTGAATTAAAAGGGACCCTGTAGCATTATTTTATTCCCCCTTTCGCCTGAATTCCTGTGCAAGGGATTAAAAAACCCACATTGTCTGTTTTTATTGGCATGTTTCCTCTCACCCCACCCCATTTTAATAACTGCGGCTCCTTAAATCTATATTCTCTATAAGTTATTTTATAGAAATTGGTTAAACATGTACATGCCCAAAGTTAACTAGGCCCTCACTATTTCTACAACAACTGGTGCACACACAGGAGTGTGATGGCCCTTTGGATACCAATAATTTCCTAGAGACATAAAAACAAGGATAACTGCTGTTGCCAGATCTCCCAGGGCTTTATGATATCACCAGGCATTTCATGACCCCCATCACTTTCACATCCAGGCTTTGGCCCCAGACTAGAAGCACAAGAACATATTTATTGATTGAGACAGAAAAGAAAGGACTGAAAGTTGGAAAAAAAGGCTCCAAAATTGCCTGGATGAATTACTCTAAGGTAAAACTAGATTTAGACATTTCTGAAGAGGAGGAGAAAGAAAAGAGGCAAGGAAAGTAGAGAGTTGGGTACCACTGAGTTGAAGTCACATAATTTTAAAAATCTCAGTCCAATACCAGTGTTCTGAGGTGGTTTATGTTTGTTCTATTTTAAATTAATAGACATGAAAGTTTTGGATGTTTTGCTAACTCAGATTCTAAGTGAAGCATTAAAGGAGAGATGTCAGCAGTGAAATAATGAACACACAAAATTGAAGGTAACTTGATCCTTTTTCATACCAACCTTCCCCTGTACCATTAGTTTTAGATTCGCTGGCTGTAGAAGTAGAAGCAGTAATGCTTTCAATATGGAATGTTGGCCACCAGAAAAGACTGCGGCCTTCATAAACAAGACTGAGACTTTATCATGATATTTCTGCCTTGGAACCAGCCGACGACAGACTGAACCTGTGATCCAAATTAAACCTCTCCTCTTTTAAGTTGTATGTGTTCCATATTGTCTTTCAGCAATACAAAAGTGACTGATATACAAACAAAACAAGTTTGAAAGTCTCTAAAGGAATATTTACTAGAAAAATATCATTATACATCTAGACAAATTTTTAAAAGATTATAAAATATACATTTTTAATTATAGTAACTCAATAAGTAGCCAAAAATAAGCATGGCTGGTAAACACTGAAGGGCACATGGACTACAGCCCATTTTCCATAACCCAGACAAGATTAACATGAATGTCATACCATGTTTTCCACTTTCCCCTCCCAAAATTCAGGTTATAATTCCTGTTGTGTCCACATATTATTGTATTATTGTGTCTCTCATCACATTTCTGCCTCTGGCTTATGCTAGTAAGTGATCCTTGGAGCTGTGGTCACAGAGAGACTCATATTTCTGTCATTTCTGAGCCAGTAACAGTAAAGAGGCAACCCAAAGATATACGGGGAGAGGGTGAACAACACATCACCAATGCTCGCATAAAGAACCAATACTCATTCTCACATCCCCTTAAATCCATTTTATTGAAAGGATGCAACAATTTCTTCAGTTCTTGAGTCTCTCTCTATTCCCTACAATCAAAAGGCAGAGATGGAAGTATCCATTTCCCCTTGACTATGCACTTATCCCCTCCTACTCAGTCATCACTAAGAAAGCCAGGCTTCTTGTTGGAAAATCCGTGGATGTTACTAGAAAAAAAATATACAGATACTAATCAGCCAGTGCTATGAGACTTCTTTGTTGCATTCATTTTCTCCCTCAAAATTAAAATAAACCAAAGCAGAAAACCAGATAAGTGAAGCAAAATAATGACATTTTTCATCTTGGTAGACCACTTTCAGGGGAATAATGAAATTCACACTGGAGAATTTTATGAGGCATAGTTTCCACTTGGGAATACTCTTATGCTATTTGGAACAACAAGTTTAGGGTTTGTTTGGAGTTCTCGTTTATTTCCCCCCTTTTCTTGAAGAGGAGGGCAGTCTGACTTAAGAGCAACAGTTTGCAACCCTGGAAAATACATAAAGTCTGAGCACTCTAGCAATTAGAGATAGAGGAGACCCATTATGTCATCCCTCATACTCGGGGGAATCAGTAGGGGATTCTTTCCTACGATAGATTTTCTAGTTCCTTATCCAGTTGACTTTCAAATGGCTCTAGGGATGGGGTTTCTACCACATCCTTTACAACATATTTCCCCAATCTCATAATTCTTGCTGTCAAACTGCTTCAAGGTGTTTAGACCAAATGTTCCTTTTCTGAAAATGGTAACAGCCTTTCTTTACTCAAAATTGAGTCCCACCTGGTAGAATGAACCTGAATCTTTTTGAAGCTATAACTGCTTCCTCTTTTGCCGCCAGAACTCTAGTCTGATTCTTTCCCTCCAGAAGTCATCTTAGCAGCAGGTGGGCATAAAAGGAATCATAGCAAGTTAGGCAAATAGATTTTAGCCCAACTGGGCCATTATCCCTCAGCGTTCTAACCATAGTATTTCTCCCAAAGTTTCAGACAGGCAGTGCTGGCCTGATAGCTTACCTACAGTGTTATGTGTGGAATGCATACTTCCCACCAGAGCCGTTAGAAATGCACACTGCACAACTCAACTTCACAGTCCTTTTAAAAATTAGCTTAAAACTCTTTGCCTATATTCATTTTAAAGCTGAATGTGATGATGATGCTTGTAATGCCAGCACACTGGGAGGCTGAAGCAGGAGGATAGCAAGTTCAAGTCCAGCTTCAGCAATTTAGCAACTTAATGAGATCCTGTTCCAAACTAGAAAAGGGTTGGTGACATAGCTCAGCAGAAAAGCCATGAGTTCAATCCCTAGTACCACAAAAATAAAGCTCCATTTAAGTTTATCTTGCATATATATTTTCTTTATAAAGGTACATTTTCTTTATGATGGTTTTAATAGAGTAAAGGAATAAATTATAAATTTATGTTATCTAACTTCTATTTAACAAAAAAACAGAGCCTTAAAAGTTAGCAATTCTGAGTGGATTCTGGAAAGATGATAGAGTACCAGGAATACATCTCCCTGCCCAAATGATAAATACACTGGCAGAATTGGTCTACTACAACTATTTTATAAATCTAAAGTCTATGAAAGGTGTGCAACTTCCAGGTGAAGGCTTAGACATTAATTTTAGTTAATTTAGATCAATTTCAGTTCTTTGGTCTGCAGGTAGGACAACCCATGCCCTACCCCTTAGCTCCATGGCAGGCAGGTACACATGTTGTTGGAGTAGCTTCCATACATATTGAAGGAGCCAGGGTGGGCAAAAGGGATCATATCCTCTAACCTCTAGAGTTCTGTGCTTTGTGTTGCTGTAATCACAGAGGAACAACCCAAGCCCCCCGAGGTTGCTGTAAACCTCCCCCAGTGCTGCAAATCCTTCCCTCCTGACTGAAGTGATTTCTAGAGAGATTAATAGACTGGTACTTTCTCTCCTCCATACACACACCTCATTTTTCTTCCTTTTTTCCCCCTTCAGAAAGCCAAGCATAAAATACAGGGACACTCCCAATCAACTAAATACACAGTAAAGCTATAAAATTATAAAACCAGGAAAACATCACTGCACATGCTCAGAAAATACCTGGAATTTATACCTCAGGCTGATCTTTGCCCCACAGGCAGCCTGCAACAACCCAAAAATAAACAAAGACACAGCAAATTCTAAGAAAGGGAATATTTCTAGAGTGGTAATATTAGGTTCAACTGTCCAGTTTTTAACAACAACAAGATAATCAAAAAGCATATATACAAAGAAATAGGAAAATATTCAAAGGAAAACACCAACAACAGAAATTTCCCTGAGACCTCTACTAGACAAAGACTTTAAAATACTGTTTTCAAGATGCTCAAAAAATTAAAGGATGATATGGAGGTCAGAAAAAATGAAATTTGTACAAAATGGGAATATCAGTAAAGAGATGGAAAGTCCAACTAGAAATAAAAGAAATCTAATAGCTGAAAAATACAATGACTGCAATAAAATTGGGATAATTGAAATGATCAAATCAGAGAAACACAGAGAGAAAAAGATTGAAGAAAAATGAACAGAGCCTAAGAGACCAGTGTAATATCACTAAATGGACCAACATATGCGTGGAGGGTCCCAAAAGGAGAAGGGAAAGGGGCAGAAGGAATACAGGAAGAATCAGGGGTTAAAAACTTCTCAAATTTGATGAAAGACATGAATATAACACCCCCAAATCTCAACAAACTCTACCTAATACAGTATAATCAAACTGACAAAACACAAAGAGAGAATCTTGAAAGGAGCAAGAGAGAAGTAACTCATTGCATACAAGGGACCTTTGATATTAAATTTTGGAGGCCAGAAGGCAATGACCAATATATTTGAAATGAAAAAAAAAATCAATCAAACATCATATATCTGATACAATTGTTTATTGAAATAAACTAAAGATGATACAAATAAGTGTAAAAACATTCCATGCTCATGGATTGAAAGACTTAATGTTGTCAGTTCTAACCAAAGTGATGTATAGATTCAGTGCAATCTCTATCAAAATGATATTTTTTGCAGAAATATATGAAACCTCAAGGATTCTGACTAGTCAAACCTATTTTTATGAAGAACAAAGATGACAGAGTTACACTTCCTGTTCAAAAATGCTACAGTAATCAAGAATATGGTATTACAGAAATACAGGCTTGCAAACCAATGGGATAGAACATAGAGCCCCAAAATAAACCTTCATGTATTTGGCCCAGTTATTTTTCACAAAGCAGTCAACTCCATTCAATGGAGAAAAGAAAATTGGATATTCACATGCAAAATAATGAATTTGAACTGTTACCAAATACCATATATAAAAATTCACTGAAAGTATTTCAAATACTTAAACATAAGACCTAAAATTATAAAACTCAAAAGGAAATATCAGATACAATCTTTACAGCTTTGGATTTAGCAATGAGTTTTTAGATGTGATGCCAAAGGCACAGGCAACAAAAGGATATATGTAGAAATGGGCTTTCAGAAAAATTTTTTAAATTTGTGCATCAAAAGACACCATAAAGTATATAAAGGCAAATGACAGAATGGGAGAAAATATTTGCAAATTATATATCTCATGAAGGATTAAGTGCAGAATGTATAGAAAACTTCGTAAACTCAAGCCCACACAACACACACACATAATAGGCATTTCTCTAAAGATTTACAAATAATCAATAGGCATATGTAAAGATGCCTTATATTTCTAATGATCAGGAAAATATAACCAAAACCAAAATTATACAGCTTTTTTAATATCCCCTTTCCCTTCACTCCCCCTCCCTCTTTCCTCTTTTAATTCCTCTTTGCCCCTTCCCATTCTTATTGATATTATTAAACTTAGTTCATGTTATGGCATGTAATGTTTACATTGAGTTTATGAAGATCCTGTACATGACCTAACTTTAATCTACTTACTTCTACCCTGTCATACACATTAGGATAGCCACTATAAAAATAGAAAATAACAAGTGTTAATAAGAATGTGAAAAAAATTGTAATTATTGTGAATATAAAATGCTCTGGAATGTACTTGCTATAGAAAAAGGTAAAAATTTTCTTAAAAATAAATGTAAAGTAGGGCCGGGGATTTAGCTCAGTGTTTCCTCCGCCTGCCCTACAAGCGCAAGGACCTGAGTTTGATCCCCAGTACCAAATAAATAAATAAATAAATAAATAAATAAATAAATAAATAAATAAATAAATGTAAAGTTACCATATGATCTAGCAATCCTAGTTCTATGTATACACTGAAAATAACTGAAAACAGGATCTCAAAGAGAGATTTATTGAGGTCATTGCATAACAACCAAGAGGTAGAAGCAATCTTGAGTAAAGAAAATGTGATATAATGAGATATTATTCAGCTTTTAAAAGGAAGGCAATTCTGATATTCTGACGCATACTACAACAGGGATGAACCTTGGGAATGTTATGCTAAGTGAAATAATCACCCCAAAAAGCCAATTATTCCACTTATACAAAGTACTTAGAGTACTCAAATTCATAGACACAGAGTAGAATAATGGCTGCCAGAGGCTAGGAGAGGGGAATTGAAAGTTACTGTTTACTAGATCCAAGGTTTCAGGTTTGCAATATGAAAGAATTCCAGAGATGAATAGTGATGGTTATAGCACAGTAATTGAATATACTCAACATCATTGAACTCCACACTTGAAAATGGTTAAGGTGGAAAGTGTTAGATTCTGTACTTCAGAATTTTAGAAAATCAAAACAAAAGCTAAAAGTTATAACCCTAGAGGTAAGTTAGCCAGACAACAAAATCAGAACTCAGATATCACCTGTCAAGCCACTCATCCTAATCAGTTCTTATTTTAACAATCCACTTACTAAAGCATTGAGAATGTTTTTGCTATTCCCTGACCGATTTTCTAGCTCTAAAGCAAAGAAATTAGCCAGATAAAAGGTAGCAACTTGATTAATATTCACAGAATGATTTTTAAGACAATAGATTTTTAAATATAATTTCCAATTTTTTTAATTCTAATGACTATTGCTTCATTTTATTCCTATATTCTTTCCCACACCAAAACCACAGCCTCTCTTCCTACCCTCTTCCTACCTCTAGAGGAGACAGCTCCACTAGCTTTTCCTTTTTGAGTTGCTTTTCCTTTACTAGCTACTGAACCCATCATGA